GCCTTCTCGGTGCATCTTTATCTTCTTTCCTGTCTGGACGTCAGTTCTCCTGAAAATGGTGGTGGCTAGCCAGTCTTCCCAAAACGTCGCTATCGGTTCCTCCGCTACAGCAGGGAAATTGTTCGGAAATGTCTCTCAGTGTGGCTCCCTCGAAGCATCCATCCCGCAAAGGAACTGCAGATGTCCTCTGTCCTCTTTCCAGCGGACTGAGCAACGTCGCACCACTGAAATACGACACTTTAAGGTTCTGAACTCCTACTGTTGTCGGTTCTCTACCTCGTTTTCCTCTTTTTGTTCTTGTGTCGATAGGGTCATCAGAAATATCATTTGGTACCACTCTTACCATGTCAGATTGCACTCTTATGGGCTCTTCGTCCCCACCGATTCTGCTTATCAGCGCAGAATTTTGGCTGGTCTCTAGTACTCTGAATAGCCGCGTCCACTCGGATACCGGGTGTGGGCTTTTGCAGGCTTTCTCTTTAGGGACCAACAAATACACGCGATCTCCTACTTAAGCAGTTTTTCCACATTCACTCTTTGCCTCCTATCATACTCCAGTTTCATCTGATCTCTTACACGCTTGTTATACTCCAGAATTCTCTCGTGATATTCTGCTACCGTCTGCAATTGCGCTTTATAGTCTTCAACATTTTTGTCCATTGCATACCAGCTTATGCCGGGGTATGATTGCCGAGGGGAAAATTTGGGTCCTTACCGTGCAACACGAAGTAGAGACTTTCGCCTGTTGACCGATGTGGTGTCATACTATACGCCACGAGGCAGAACGGCAGTCTTACATCCCATTCTGTAGGTGTCCTGCTACTACGACGGAGCATCGCTACTACTGTGCCGTTCAACTTTTCCGTGAGTCCGTTCTCCCTTATATTGTATCCTTTGGTGCAGACGTGCTCGATTTTCGTAATCCTTTCTTCCATCACCTTGTTTTCAAACTCTCCTCCTCTATCTGACAGAATTTTCTTCGGCCACCGACAACCTTCGGCTATCTACCGCGTAAACAGCACTTTTGCTACCGTTTCAGCCGATTTATCAGCTACCGGATAAGCTGCCGCAAATTTGGAGAAGTGGTCGATGACCGTTACGGCATACCTATTACCGCTGGTTGTTACACCAAGCTCCAGTATGTCTTCTGCAACAATTTCGTACGGTTTTATCGTCACTATTGGCTTGAGTGGTGGTGGCACTAGTGCTCTTGGATTGTGCACAAAGCAGCGCTGGCATTCGCACGTCCATTTGCGAATGTCCTATAACATGTTTGGCCAGAATACTTCCTTTTCAAGCGTGTTGTAGAGCTTGTACGCGCTGAACTGCCCTGCAATTGTACCAGCGTGTGCTTCGTCAAAAATCTTTCTCCTCGCGAGCTTGGGCATCACGAAAACTGGGCTTCCGTCGTTCCGATCTACTTTCAATTCACCGTCTTCGATGACAAAGTCGGGTATTCGCACGGGCTCTTTGGATCCTGTCCATGACCTGGCGCTATCTACCTTTCCTTCCCATAAGTCCTTTACTATGTCTTCAAACTCGGCGTCTTGTCTGAGCTCAGCCATGCATTTGGCGTCTTTTTCCGTCTGCAGTCTACTGACCACCGCTTCATCGACCCCACTTAACGACGTCTGATTCGACCATTCTGACATTTCTCTACTTAATGCATCAGCCACTACATTTGTTTTACCCTTCACATACTTTATCTCAATTTTATACCTTTGTATTTCCAAGGACCATCTGAGTACTCGTGCAGACACATTATTCCGCTTGAAGAGCGCGGTGCAATTGGTGGTCTGTCAGTACGACTGTCGGAACACCGTATATGAACATGTGGAACCTACGGGCTGCAAAAATTACTACAAATGCCTCAAGATCCGTCACGTGATAACATTTTTCCTTTCTGCTCAGGCTTTTTGAGGCGAATTATTAGGTTGGCGGGAAAGTTCTGTCACCTTTTTTTCAAATTAGGCTTTCTTTTTATAGAGAGGCGTCTAAGATCAAAGGTGTACAGCGATGTTCCTGTGGCGTCCTTGCCAGTGTTTGAGCATCTCATGGATGCCATCGCTTCACAATGCAGGGAAGCACGGCGCAAAGTTGGACACCATCTCAGCCTCAACGTGAACTTGGGTTATGAAGATTTTCTCGTCCACGTAGCGACCGATTACGGGAGGCAACTCGTAGTAAGAAGGAGCGATGTCTTTACTACGCCAGTGCAAGGGGAAAGCCATCCAGCTTTATTGTATGGGGTACGGCTTGAGCTTTTTTGGAAGGGGTGCGCTGCACTATCATGATGAGGGCGGACTGTGCGGACAAATGTTTTCCTCTGATCGACGGTACGCAACAGATCTCGTAGCTCCTTTGCGTACGCATTGACCGAAGAAGCAGCTACTTCATCCAGCACTTTCACGACCCACAGCTTCCATCGCATCTGAATTCACAGGTAACCCAAACCTTACTTCGTCACCAAAACTGCAGGACTCCCGCTTTGGAGCATTAGCATCATCCTTTATTCGAGGGCATCGTCCTTATTCAGCTCCATTATTTTGGCATGTGTAGCTATCATTCTGGCGTAGGAGAGAAGGCGTAGGAGAAAGAGTTTGAGGGAGCGCTTGGAGGGGTTTGTGCCGATGACAGCGGATAAATTTTCGTCCATATTGCAGAAGAAGAAGAAGCACGAGTCAGGCGAGTAGCAGCAATAGAAAGATCACTCTTCGAGGTATAGGAACTCACATTACCGGTTACCTCCCTTCAGGTAATGGGCAAGCATTTCGACTTTGAAACAGTGTGACAGAACTTTCCCGCCAACCTAATAGATGGGGTGTGCAACAGCTTATCGTCCCCTTCTTGTGACAACACAGCACCCAAAGCCGATGTTGATGCGTCACTACATTTTACGAAAGGACGTAAGCCCTCCCTGGCTTTTTCGATGTCCGGCTGCATCAGTACTGGTGCCGATGATATCATTTTCTTGACCTTGTCAAATGCCTCCTCATGTTCGTTCGTCCACTTCCAAGGGGTCCTCAACGAAGTTAGATTGAACAAACATCCTACTACCTTCGAGAGTCCCAAGCAACACTTGCGATAGAATGACGTCATTCCAAGGAACGTTCGGAAACTCTTAACATTTTTCGATGCTGGATAGTCTGCAATCGCTTTCACCTTCTTGGGATTCGCATGCACCCCTTTTGAGTCAATAATGTGCCCTAAGAAGCTGACTTGTTCCTACAGCAGGACACACTTTTGCGCCTTTAGTCGCAAACCCGCTTCTTGAAGCTTCGCGCACACCTTGCGCAGCAATTCAATGTGGCGTTCCCGTGAATCCGTACAGATTACGAAGCGTCTATGTAGCATAAAACTTCTGCCACTATAAGCTTCTGTAAAACCATATCCATGAGCCTTTGAAACAGTGCTGGGCTTTGCTCAGTCCAAAAGGCGTAACCCGAAACTGAAACACCCTTCAGTTGCTGTGAACGCGGACTTCTCCTTTGCCATTTCCGATAGGGGATCTGCCAGTATCTGCTGCACAAATCCAGCGTGGAAAACCATTTTTTCCCCAGCCATGCTTTGCAAAATAGCGTCTAGGGTCGGCAGTGGGTAAGCGTCCTGCTTGATTCACTTGTTCAACTCTCTGTAGTCGACTTCAACTCTCTGTAGTCGACACATAAACGCAGGCCACCGTCCTTTTTTCTCAACTAATACAATTGGGAATGCCCATTTGAAGTTGCTGTTCTCGATAATTCCTGGATTCTGCAAATCTGCCAGTAACTCCTTTAGTTTCTTCCTCACTGCTAATGGAACGGGTCGCGTTTTCATCTTGATAGGTCTGTTCTCCCCAGTGTCTATGTCCGTGGCTACCTTATCTGTTCCGGTCAGGTCCATATCTGACACGGAAAAAGCCGAGGGGAATTCATCTAGTACTTCCATAATGTCATCACTCAAACAGTTTACATTCGAACTTCGTTTGATCTGCTCCACCAGTAGGGCCCGCCGCTCTTCTCCATCCTCCACTCTCCATTTGTCCTATTCGGTACTTCTAACATGCATGGGTTGCAGTCTTCCCATTTTTCCTTCCATTTTTCTGTACCCCAGTAGCAAATTTCTTCACCTCGACCAAAAATCATCGGCTCATCTCTGTAATTTACCACGGGGATCTCCACCTCTTGATTTTTAATTTTGAACACACCACAACTCAGAACTTCTTGGCCAAATGACGCCCTCCGTCACATGTTCTCCAGCATCACAATGCGCCGGCACAAACCTTGCCCCATGAGGTGGGATATATGCCCTCTTTGTCACAGTCACTGGCTTATGCTGCGCCCTCGCACTTTCGGCATCTGAATCATCCTCCGAAATCTTTAAACTGACTCCTAGGTCGCTAGGCGAGTTGGTTCCCAACAGTATCTCATAGACCCTACTGTCTGCTATGTAGAAAGCTACCAGGCTACTTCGCCGCCTTCAATTTCGACACTAATTTTAACGGCGCTTGGGAATTCCGTTTTATTATTAGATGCGTCGTACACATGCACACGATCTCCATTTATGACTTCAAGGCTACCCACTTCAAATCCTCTATCCCTTGCTGGAGCCAGCCCACCTACAGGAATTATACTTATCATCGATCCCGTATCCAACAGTGCGGGTACGGTCTGTAGCAGCCTTGCCGAGCGTGGAATTCTCTTCCCGACTAGCGGTGCTGTCTTGACTGGACCACCACTCATCCTGACCCCCATACTTCTCGCTTTCTGTATGATAAGTGAAATTCCGTCCTTTGGTGGGGTTTTCTCGCTTCCCTGGCACTCACTGATCCACTTCATATGGGGTCTCTGAGGACATTCCTTGTTCAAACCTTGAAAAACTGAAACACTACCTACATAACATAACATACTACTAAAACTACCAACTATAAACTAAAACTAACTAACTACAACTAACATACCTTGGGAGCACTTTTTGTTTAGGAGCTCTACGTGCAGAGCTTGCTTCACCATACGCCCCTTTTACGGGTTCTCGGTCGCCCTCTTCTCGTCTTGGAACAGTTTCCTTCCTAACTGTCGCGCTGACTCTGTCGAAACCATTGCAGCCTTTGTACGCCCTCGCTCTCCGTGCTCGATGGAAAGGGCTAATTGTTTCACCCCTTCATAGGCTTTCTCCGGCTTAGTTCTATAAAGCGCACTCAGTAGCTGCACATGTTCCGGCCAGTCTCTCAGGTTAGACAAGAGGATATGTGCGAACTCTAGTGAACTGTCCTCAGTGCTACCGTGAGGATTAGCCTTCCTTCCCAATTTTTCTAGGGCCACACAAAAGTCAGCGACATCCTGTTGAGGGCGAATTCTCAACTCGCGCAGCTCAGAGATAGCTCGCATCCTACCGGCCACTGTATCTTCCGCTAGGAAGTTTCCTAGCTCGGCAACAGCTGCTTCGAAACCTCTGTTTCGTATCTCCGCCGACGGCGAAAGAAACATGGACTTGGCTCTACCGCCTAAGTGATCATCCCTAAGTATCTCAATAAGAGTATGGTCACTCGTCACAACCCTTTGGTACTTCCTACGAAACCTTCAAATGAACTCTGAGAAGTTCTCATTGGCTTTCTCTTTGTACACCCCACGATCGACGCAAGAAAAAGATTGGAAATAACTAAGCATATCCATAGTCAATCTCTGACCTTGTATCCCTCTTGTTTCCGCCGAGGAGCTCTCCACACAGGGTTTCCATCTGGGCTCGCACCGTGCTGCAGTCCACTGGGTCGCTGGTGCCTGCAACAGCACGTGATCTCTATCAGAATGAAATGGCCTACTGCAGTTGATATTGGCAAACTCACTACGTCCCTCATTTCCATTTCCAAATCGGACGACATTCTCTTCCACAGCCTTCGACCTAAGGTCCTTGACCACGTTCACAACCTGCAACGTATTTGTGCTCAGCACACTGCAATTGTCGCCAAGATGTCACCATCTTTTTCCATAGTAATTATGTAATCCTCCCACTCATCCTCCGACTCGATCCCTCTTGGATCCAGTACTTCACAAATTTTCCCATGTATTACATTCGTTCTCCTGCAGCTATTTGCTAAAACTTCTAGCTTGCTATGGACTTTCCTCCAAAGCAAGCTTACTCCATCTTCCTCCTAACCACTTCCATATGCCTGTCTCTATAGCGAGCGGACATTTGTGATCTTTCATCTCGTCAGCCACAGTCCTAGGAAGTTGCTCCAAAAGAAAACTTATCTCTTTCAACTCTTTGACTATTGGCTCAAATGGGAAAGTATGACTATCTGTACTCACCGATGACCTTAAGTCTTGCTCCTCAATCTCGTCATCCATATTTTGTCAATAACCATGATGACTAATTACAATCTGAAGAATTAGCCGCTTCAACACTTCCAGTCACCACGAAAAAAACACGTACTAGAGGTGCCGATTACGACCGATACAACGATCTGATATTCAACTTCGACTTGACTGTAACCAACTTCAATAGCTAACTCTATACTCTCTCCACGTCCGATAATCCAATCGCGCTCGGCACACAGTTGGCCTATCGAATATCTTTTCCGCTTTTGGCACTGACCAAAAAAACCTTGGCTCCACTCTAGCCAGGGATCAGTAGGCCAATCCTTGATTAACTTTGACTCGCCCTGACTCACGAGTAGCAGCTCACCTCACGCCGTGCGATTGCTCCAATCACCGGTATGACTCTAGCTTGCTCAGACCTTTCAGTTCGGCCCCATGTGGAGTTATGATTGCCCCCCGGCTGGATTGTTCAAGGTGTTAGCACGATCGGCGGAAAAAAATCACACTCAGGCAATAAATAATTTTTTGGTTCAATAACAGAACATCAGCGAAAAATGTAGTAGGAATAAGGTACGAGTAGAAGACGGTGGAGAGGGCGTAGGGGGTCGGAGAGAGGACCGCCGCCAATCCTTCCTGGAGACGAGTCTAAAAAAACCTCTTGAAACTCCTTCCAGAACTCTCCGCCGACCCGCCAGATCGTAGTGGTCAAAAAGGAGTTCGAGGCACTCTCTGCCCCCTTCCATTGATGGTCGCTACTTTGGCCTCTGTGTGCTACAGTGCTCTCCTTTTCATTGGCGGTCCACCTCCTTTGACCCACAGGCACGCATAAACTGGGATTGGAACAAGTTGTATCTAGGGCCGTTGGCCATGTTTTTTCTGCTTTCTTCTTCACTTACTCAGCATCTTCTCGTCTGTATACAAACCCCTAGTCCACTATCTGTGACGGCGAGTGACCGCGGGCTTTGCCTTTGAAAGCAGTTGGCACGATGATTTGGTGCTCGGCCTAGAGTGCTAGTAGGGCGCTATCTTTTTCTTCTCCCTAGCCTTTCCTGAAGTTTCACTGTGTGCATTACACTGTTCTTCTCTCCCCAGCGTTTGTCCCGCGCCGTCGCAGGGTCCGCTGTTGTTATTAGACGTCGCCACTTGTTCCGATCCACTGCATCTTCTGCTGTGGCTTTCACTTCAGTGAGGTCCTTCTTGATTATGTCCCTCCATCTTTTCTTTGGAGCTCCTCGTGGTCGCTTGCCGTCTACTTCGTATTCCAATGCCTTCCTTACTGGGTGGTCTTCCTGCCTCCTCAGAACGTGCCCATACCATCGCAGTCGCTGCTCTCGCGCCTTCAGCTGGATCGGAGCCCGGTACACCTTGCCCTTGAGCGTTCTCGAGCACCGCCGGTCGTACACGATGCCAGTGGACTCCCTCCATTTCATCCAGGCTGCGCTGATTCGCGTCCTCACCGCCTGGTCCACGCTGCCATCAGCTGCTAGATCGCTCCCCAGGTATTGGAATTCCTCGACCCTTTCGATGCTCTCGCCGTGACGGTCTACCATAGGTTCGGTACAATCTTTAGAGCTCAGGAACTTGGTACTCTTCACGTTCAACCGGAGTCCATTCTCAGCGAGCACTTAGTGCCACCGCTGCACCTTGTCCTAGATCTTTCCTGCTGTCCGCTATCAGAGGATGTCGTCAGCATAGAGGATGGTTTTCAGTGGTCCCTTCATGAGTTCTTTCGCCATGACATCTGGAGTCAGGAGGAAGACGAACGGGCTGAGGGCTGATCCTTGGTGGACCCCAACCGTAATGTTTACCTCCTTTGTGAAGCCATGAGGGGTGCGTACAGCTGCTTTAGTCGTACATGTCCTTTACTAAAACAGGTGCTCCGGAACGTTACGTTCTCTGAACGCTCTGCAAGCCGAGGCAGGCGGTCGAATGCCTTCTCAAGGCCCAGGAAGGCTAGGAAGCAGAGACAAGTTCTCTCAGCCGTGTGTTGATCAGGCGCTCGTACAGCTCCATGGCATGGGGAGTCAACTTGATGCTGCGGTAGTTGGAGCACTCCGTCGCGTCACATTTCTGTTTTAAGATTGGGACGATTGTGCTGTTCCTCCACGCATCCGGCATCCTTTCTTGAGCCGTCACGTTGTTTAGAAAGTGTGTGAGCCAACTTACCCCAAGCTCTCCCAGGGCCTTCCTGCCTCTATCGGAACCCCGTCTGGACCCACTGCTTTCCCCACCCTTCATTCTGCATAGCTCTCGGCGGGCTTCATCCTTTGTCCAGGTAGTGATGGGACCTGCTGTTGCCTCTATCTGTGGGCTAGCCTTGCGGGGAACTCTTCGTTCTTAAGTCTCTCGCAGAAGTCTTTCCACCTCTTCCTAATTTCGGCTGGTTTCCTGAGTATGGGCCCCGCTGCTGCTCAGTCTTCACGACCCTTATGTCCTGAGCACCGCGATGCCGAGCCTTGGCTACCCGGAAGACGAACTTGCCCCCCTCTCGGCCTCCAGCTTCTTGTACAGGGCGTCCATTCCCGTATCCCTGGCTTTAGCAACGGCTGCCTTAGCGAGTCGCTTGTAGCTCTTGTAGAAAGCGTAGTCTTCTGAGCTCCGTGTTTTTTGCCAGCGTTTGTATGCTTCCTTCTTCTGCTTGACGATTACCTGGACTTCCTCGTTCTGGACTTCCTCGTTCCAGAACCACTGCCTTGTCTCGTCTAATGTCACGTCACGTCTCTCTCAAATCTTCCTTTGAACACTGTAAGATGACCTCTACTGCGTAGGTCAGGTGTCCTGGACTGGCCCAAGTGTGTCTGGGAGCCCAGCCTCCAGTATTCTTCGGGAGGCTATCCTTTTCTACCTTGCGCATTTTCCACCACCGAGTTTTTCGCTCTGTTCTCACCCTCGTCTTCATGGGAAGATCTATGGCGTCTGCCAGGAGAGGCCTGTGCTAAGGGCCCAGCTCTTTTCCAGACAGTACCTTGATATCCTTGACGGTTTTGAGTGACGATCTTCTCACCAGGGCATGATCGATTTCCGTTTGTCCCCCTCCACAGCTGCAGGTTATCTTCTGAGTCTTCCTTTTCGTAAAGGTGCTGCAGATCGCTTAGTCGTGGGCTGTAGCTAGGTCAAGGATCCGTTCTCCCTCAGCGTTCCTTGCTCCCATTCCTTAACCTCCGTGCACCCTTTCTTAGACCCCTTCTGTCACTTCCCACATGGCCATTCAAATCCCCAGCTATGGTGAGGTGGTCATCTTCCGAAACCGATCTTATGGCCTCGTCCAGGGACATGTAGCACTCATCCTTTTTCAACTCGGAGTAACCGAATTGTGGTGCCTACACGGTCAGTGCTGTCCACTACCCCTCCTTCGGGTCCATTCTCACTCCCATGATTCAATCACTGATTCTGTTCACAGGAGATACAGTCTTCGAGGGATTCTGCCACCGCTATGGACACGCCATTTTGGTGTTTCATTGTAGAAGAGTTTGACACCTCCTCCGATCTCGCGGGCCTTCGCACCCTTCCATCGCGTTTCCTGAACGCATGGGACTTGGATATTCCTGCGTCTCTTGAGATCGGCAACCTCATTAGAGTTCCCGATAAGCGATCCCACGTTCAGGGTCCCACTTCGAACTAGCTTCTTTGGCCGAGGTCGTTCACCCCTCGGTAGCCCTCGCATACTGACCAAAGAACTCGGGTGAGGGTTCTGCGCGCCACTTCCGGGGACGGGTTCCTCCATCAGCCGCCCTGTCAACTGGGCCTGACGCTGGTATCGTCCCCATTTTTGCAATCTTCGCAAGGCAGGTTTGTGCCTCGGCGAGGATCGAACGTGGCTCAGAGTGCGAACATGAGTCTACACTCTTAACCACTCGGCTATCCCTGCCTCGCTAGTAAGGCGCTATACAGTGGGGAAATCGTGAAAAAACGGAGTGAAACGGTCAAAATCCTGCGAAGAAAGTGCCTCCATTCTCACTGCGTTAGTGATCAATTTTGGACGAGTTTCCCATGGGCATCTTGCCACTAACCGCTACAGAAAGTACCGCTGCATATATGTACTCATATATCCATGCAGTATCACTGCCACTTCAAACCAATCCCTTGTTCATAATTTGCTTACAAGGAAAGGAAGGTTGGTCGAAGTGGCCATTTGAAATGAGACGTATACTGCCCGATGGGCCCTTGGACGCTGATTACAAATCTGCCCTCCATATCTGCTATACGATTTCCTGGACAATTTTTGCCAGATTTTTGACAGGTCACACCCATTTCCAGCATGTATATGAGGTGCTCCAAATTGCCCAAACTGGCTGGAATCTAAAATTAGAGGTGCTTCAGTGCCAAGGAAATCAAAACTGCAGTTATAATTCGTGAAAACGTTTTGTACGCATTCTGGAGGGGCAGGGTGTGCAGAAAACTGCAACGTACTTGGCAAGCGTTTTTACGCCGAACGAGTGTGATATTCGTGCTCTGGAGTCCAAATTAGCCCTAGAGACAAGTGTTCAACCAAATTTGAGATTTCGACCTATTTTCGATACAGTGGAGTAACCATAGGCAGCCAATTCCCAAAGGTTGCTGCACTATCGCCGATTCAAATCTCTGTGAGCAGTGGAGGTTCTTCGCTAAATCTTAGTCCTTGTTGGTTACTGACGGTCCTGTTAACAACCACGACATCCACTTTTGGCTTCCATGCCATCTGGAATCAGTTTGGCCTCGTCACACGACGGAACGAATAATGCTGCCGAAACTAACAATCAGGAGTTTCCACTAGGAGTGTTCCAGAATGGCTCTATCACATCAGAAATAAAATTTTTTGGCAGAATCAGGTCTCCTAGCCTCGCAGAAGTGCTTTCCCGATGTGCAGGGGGCATTTTTGAGAACTCACGTCTCATTTGTGTGCCAAGCTCAATTGTGCTCCGTACAACAACCTCCTGCATATCTCTGCTCAGAGAATCGTTTCGTTTAGCAGATATGGAAAGCAGATTTGAAATCAGCGTCCGAAGACGCATCAGTGTGTATGCATCTTGTCTTAAATGGCCACTTCGACC